TTCGACATGCTATACTATGACTGTTTTCGACATGCTATACTATGACTTTGTTCACTCACTCAGCTACACAGATGATTAATAGGGGATTTGGTATTTGTGTGTAGCAATGTTGTAGTACTCAAGACCGAGGACTCTGGATTTATAGTTCAAGACCGGTTAAAAGCACAACTGAGGGGATATCACTAAACTGCCTGTGCATTGTCTGAGTTATTCATTAACATTACTGTGATTGCTCATAGAAAACAAAGAAATGAATTCATAAAAATCACGTCTGCAATGCCTTTTGATTATTTCATCAACACATTTCTCATGCTACACTTTTAAATACACAGTATAGAGTATATATGGGTGTTTTTATGGGAATATGGACCTTTCAAATCAATGCAATAAACATTTGTGACCATTTTAAGATCAATTTCACTATGTACATAGTACACTCACATTTTTAATGACATTTATATACTATATTTATGACATGTTTTTATGAAATACTGTATGCTGTAACATTTTTAGAACTTGTTTATGGAATACTTTATTGTAATATTTTTTACATTTTATGGCTAATACTATAGAATTCTAACTCATTTATGGCATACTGTACTGAGACTATTTTATGACATACTATATTGTGACATTAGTATGACTTATGACATTTTTATGGCATACTATACTATGACTTATATGTATACACACACAAAAAACTCTTCTCTCACCCACTTCCAGTACCTCCTACTGGCCTACTTTTCCATCTCCTCCAACCGGCCACAGCTCTCTGATCGCCGCAGGAAGCCGCCGGACAAGCACCAACGCTCGTCCACCAGGTGTTGATCATGGTCTTTCCCCAGAGGGGAGACGGTCTTCATGCTGGCACCTCTCTTAAGTACTCGTACATCTTAAAACATGATTGTACGCGTCTTTTTACTCGAGAAGCTTGTGTTTTCTCCGGTCTCTCCTCTCTTTTAGCGGAGGCATGGGGCGTTTCGGCCGGGTCCAGCCTCCACAGCTGACACACCTCACAGAACGTTTGTTGGCATTTTCAACTTGTTGTGGTGGTCCCTTTAAAAATATATAAGAATAAAAAGAGACATGTGCACTACCCCGCACATGCAACTAACAAACAAACTGCTCACGTGCATGTGTCACACCTGTTCCTGGCCATTCTTCCTCGCCACCTGCCTAAACCACCACCGACCTCACGAGGCTCCCCATCGACATATGTCGTTAATTCTGCATCTGGACCGGACCTCACAATTCCTGCAATATTGTAATGTCATGACAAACAATACTATAATATTATTCATGACATACTACACCATAAATTTTTACATTTTTTTATTATATACTATGGCATTTATATATATTTGGACATTATATAACATTTTGACTTTATCATTACACTTTAATGGCATAGTATACATTTTTACATGCGTTACTGTACTGTGACATTTATATAGCTTACTATATTGCAATTTATTTTTGGCATACTATACTAAGACGTTTTATGGCTTACTACATCAGGGTTTGTTATGTACGTTATGACATACTATGCTATGACTTTATGGCTATTTTTTGACTTCTATTATTGAAATCTAATTACCAGTTGGATATATTATTGTGAAAGAGTTGTGATTTAACGGGCTGATTTTACTGTGGTCAGTACTAAGCTGATTAGTCTGCTTTGTAGTGAGACCTGAACAGACAGGATCTTGTACGTCTTATGTTGTGCTGGTGACATCTGCTTTTGAAAACCATCAACTTAAGCTGACCTTTATTTGTGGGATTGCTCAGGGTTGATCTGTGTATAATATTGAATACACACCAACACAATGCAGATTCAGCTACAGTTAACTTTATTTGTAAGTACAGATAGAACAAGAATGCTTGTTGTTGTATCGCTTTTATATTATTGGTTTCCCTTTTTGTGCCCTCCAGCTCATAGTCTTTCCTAGCACTTAAACATACATACTCGGATCTTTACATGTGAATTGCCTTAGTAAATGAAAATGATGAAACAGAAATGTAAATTTCACAACTAGGATTATTTACAAATAAGAAAAGGAAAGAAAACTTTACTACGAGTGAACATTTTGATAGAAATTCCAGGGAGACATTCTGAATCTGCAGTCATGCCTGCTGTACTGAGAGTAAATAAACAGTTTGTTTGGTTTCATAAAAACACACAAAAGGAAAGCAATTGAATGAAAAAAAAGAAATGTCACAGATCCTATTTTTATACTCTGCAATAGTTCACCTCTTGATAGTGTGAGCTCAAGAACAGGTCAATGTTTTATCACCCTTTCCTGCTATGTTTACTTCTCTCAAATGTATTATGTTTCCTCCCCAGACACTAAACAGTCGTACATTGTCATAAATATGGTCGTTATAATCACTGCTGGCTTAGACAGAGAAACACTGCGGTAAAGTCTGCATTATTGCATGAGCTGATGACATCTTACATGTGAAAGTTTACACTGTTGGGAGGGGGGAGGGGGGGGGGGGGGGAGTGGAAAACATGATGAAGCTGGTTGGATGGAGGGATGAGGCAGGAAAAGCAGACAAACGAGGAGAGTCAGTAAAGAGAGGAGGAGGGAACTTTACATTATTGTGCAACAGCTTGTCAAAAACACTCATTCACACAATCTCACCATTTCATCTCCATCTCTTTCAAAGGATTTCAAATACAGATTGATAAAGCCAGGCAGTGCATTGATGCATGGCAGTGGGCTGGGGAGAGCGAAGAGACATGTAAGCTGCACAGGCCTTGAGGAACAGTGAGTTGCTGTTGTGTCTTTTCTGGCTCGCTGTCTCAAACACTTCATGCTGTGACACTTTTCCGACTGTAATTAATACGTTTTTTCGGTTCACTGTCTACTTTCACTGGTCGGGGTGAACATTCAATTCAGCATAGATCACTTTCAGGTTCAAGACCTTCACAGACATTAGTGGCAAATTGAGTTAAAATCTTGGACGTTTAATTCACCCGCATCATCTGATAGCGGAGTAAGGTTCTTGCTGCATCGCTGTTCAATTTTTAGGATACAGTGTTACTAGACATAGCCACACCACCGTGAGGTGCACTTGGTTTTCTTTTTATCCAGGCAGCACTCGGGGGGGTGGGAGTGTTAACGTGAATATGTTTGCATCAGTGCGTGCGCGTGAATATTTCATCCCTTTTAGAATGTGCTTTCAGCTCTGGAGGTGCAACATTATGGGTACTGGTTGACTCTCTTAAAATTTGCTCACACACACACACACACACACACACACACACACACACACACACACAC